TTCATACACGTCCCGTCTCCGTTCTCCTCGTTCGCAGTCGTCGTCGTCTCTCCCAAGTTCTTCTTATTTCCTTGGTCTGGTTCCCGTCGTCCCCATCCCGCGGCTCGTTCTCCCAACAGCGCTCCTGCTACAGCAGCTCGCGGAGGGTTTACTAAATTTAACCATATTTCATCTGGCGCTCGTGTATAAACATTCTTCCTCTTCTCCGGAGGACGGACATATCCCCATATGGGTGGCTTATGTATGGTGCAGTTATGGGAAGGGAGGCATGGTTGAACTGGGCCGAGCATAGTCGAGCCGAACAGCCGAATCGCGGCGGCGGCTGCTGCTATTCTCCCCTGGCACGGGCCAAAGAAGAAGAAAATTGCGATTTTTCAAGACCAACAACCCCGCGAGCACGTTGACCACTCGTATTGGAGCAAAAGAAAACTTCGACAAAAAAAAATGAAACGGCACACTTTCCGAGAACTGGTGTTCCTACGCGTATCATCTCTTCCTGGCCGTTCTACGTCTCACTCAGCGGCATAACGGCAATCGTCCCAATTAGGTCGAATTCATTCAAAAACCTGTACCTGAGGTATTTACCTAATTCGGACCACGACCTCTTTTCCTTAATCGTCGCCGTGGCAGCCGAGAGCTCGCATAAGGATTTTGCGTCAAATCGTGTCCACGGTCTTGATGAAGAAGTTTAAGAATGGGCTTGCATAATCGCTGGGCTCGGACCGACCCCAAAGGCTGAAATCCCGCCTTCGTGATTCTCTCGGATTCTCAATTTCATGCATGCATCCATCCGTCCGTCCGTCCTCACCTGCGGCGCCCGCAGCCCACCCTTTCGAGCCGCAGGCTTCTCCTGCCGTTCGCATAACGACTCGAGCCAATAGAATCAGCCGCAGCTTTTCAGCCAATAACGATCTCGTGTGATTTCAATATTCTGGGAAAAAGCCAACACTGATTCGAGGCCGGCGGAGTCTGATGGGAATAAAACTACTCGGCCGACCACGCGAGCCTACTGCCTGCAAAGTCTACGGAGTACTCGTTAGGTGGGCGACCATTGCGACGAGTTCGACGACGACCCCTCCCATATAGAATTACAGCTTCACCAAGCAGCCAGCACGGCTGCAAGAAAAGCAGGCAGGCCGGCCGGCAACTCACAAAGATGGACATTGGGGGACGCGACCCCTTAGGATTAAACTTAAACTATGACTCATGGACTGCGAGCTATTGCTCCCGCTAGTCAAGCTCGCTGCTAGCTAGCGAGCGAGCGAGCGACAAGAGCACAACTAGACATACAGCAGTCGTCGCTTTCTCCGTTGTCCAAACTGGAAAACCTGAGCTGACCGAATCATGCAAGCAGCCATTGAATGAGAGAATAGTGAAAGAGACTTAAAAAAGCCTGGCTAGCCAGCGAGATGACCGGCCCGGAGGGAACCGACGAGGGGATGAGTGTCTGTCTGTCGATAGGGGGTAGAGAGACCGCCGAACGAACGGACAGACGGACCGATAGACAGACCGATGGTTGGTCGAATCAATGTGGACACACAGACGCGCGGACCAAATGAGACACTCCCTTTTTTCGAATGCAGCAATCGCTGCTTCTGCCGCCAGATGATTTCATCGGCTGCTTTCTCTGAGATTTCTTTCCGACCGGGGGTCCACTTCTTCTAACTCGGCCTAACACGATTACTACATCCTGTCTCTGTGTTCTAATCCCGCCCAGCCCATGGCCTTATCAATTCCGCTCATATTTACAGTGAGAGAGTTAGCCAGTCGGCTGGCCGGGCAGATAAAACACCACGAACTGCTTCGGTGAGGAATTTGAGTCCGAACGAGCGATCTCCGGCGATGTCTCCGGAACAGTCTGTTAATACTTTGAACTTCGAGTTTCAACAGAGCCTCGACACAGGGGGCTTAGATTTGGGAGCCTTAAAAATGTGCTCCAGCGGCCAGCGAGGCTCCAAATCAACCAGTGGCTACGCTTGTTGATAATGTGCGCTGCCAAACGTATTTTAGATTACCGCAATGGCGACATCTTGCTTTGTCGAACGACATCTGCCGCCAGAGATGAGGTTTGACAAAGTCAAGAAGCGGGGACAAGAATTCCTCTCCTCGACTAAATCGACTCCAAATTGTCGGGATCACCATCCTCGAGTTAGTGACTCCGCTGACCGATCGACGATAGTTCGAATCGTAGACACCGTCGACATCTTGGTCGCCGGCCGGGCAAATCGTCTTCCGAAGCACAGGCTCGAGCCAGGCTCGGGAGTTGCCGCAAACCCTCGAAGTCCCGGGAATTCCTCATCCCATCCAATTTCGGCATCATCTACCGAGATTCTGCTCAGGGTTTCGCCCCGGTCCCTCTGGAAGAGAGAGATGCCGTGTTTGATGAGAGTCCGTTGACGAGCGAAATTCCTAGGTGCGAGAGACGAGCAAATTTTTCGCGGTTCGAGTTGTGAGCCCAGTCGGCCATTTCGACGTAGGAACTACGTCACTTCCGCCAATCAGCGCCCACGCGAGCTGGCCACGCAGTCGACGAACTGGGCATTAGGGCAAACTGGGTACGGAGCGAGTTGGCCGGCCGCTCCAAGGAGCAACGAGCCAGGCGGGTAGTCAGACAGGCAGGCGGTTCGCGGGCGGGATCCGGCGGAAGTCTTTCATCAGCTGTGGTTGGACGGCGGCGGTGTCGAAGGCTCGCGAGTGGAAAAAGACGAAGAAGGTAGACTTACAAGAGATTTAGTGCAAGAATATCGGCGGACGTACCCAAAGGCAGCTGGCCCATAGAGGTGGGATGGATATGGACCATTGCACAGAACGGGTTACCCGCCCGGCACCCACCCGCTAGCTGGGAAGCGCGGCTAGGGTTCGGCACGCTCATCTTCACTCGTGCTCGTCGTGCTTACTTCGTTGCTGCCACCGCGTTTACAAACAAACTCACTCAAAGCAGAGGCAGCATCATCCACTTCGGAAGCGCCGACAGCGACAACAACAACAACAACTATAATGATGAGAGCCACACCGACCGCAGCACAGACTCCAACAGTGGCGACGACAGCAACAACAACGAAAACCGCAGCGACCAACATCACAATGATCTATCACTTTGCGAAGTTTGCAAGTACTGCATACACCAGCGTCAGCGAGCAGGAAGCGAGGGTCTAACGGGGTGCGGTTAACGATCCCTCTAAATGATCGATTTCGTCTTCGGCCATAGATGCAGCACACGGGGACAGCTTACACTGTTGATACATACACAAACGAACCGAGCATCCTACCAAGCATGGCGCTCACTTTTGGCGAATGCTTTCAATGCGCCTGATCGGGCGCTCTCTGTCAGCATCCTTCCGAATGCCGACTCAAAATCTAGCGCGAAGACCTCATTCGATTCATTGAGCTCGTGCGTGAATGAGCTGAGGTGGATCCGAGTCTGACAGCGATCCAAATCATAACAATGGAGCTCTTACTGGCGGGACTTCTCGCGATCCGCTCAGAAATCCCCCTCGAATGAATGGAAGTTCCTTCTTTGGAACTTCATCGAGCCCCCTACCGTGACTGCCAAGACACGAATACTGAGGACTTTCCGCGCGTCTCAACACGCCCAAGTCTCGCGAATTGCCACGACTTCCACTAGGCTAAGGACTTGCGGACATCGCTATACGTCAAAACGACGGTATTCGATACTGCTCTCGCACAGTGTGAGGTTGCGAGAGCGGAACCCACAGGGAGATACTGGGAAAGTTTCATTCGATGAGCAGCTTTCGTCATTCGAGCTCTTCTCGAGCGATCGACCACCAATTTATATGATGCCAAATATCTACGGGTAAACGAGATTCCGAGAATCTCGTTATATATATGTGGAAGGACGCACGCGCAAATCGACTCAGCTCAACCTAAAGGAGAAATTAGCCGTTGATTTAAGCGTACGCCTTACGGAATCCGAGTGGCAATAATCGTGACTTGATAGTTTACGCAGATTCTCTCAGTTTCGGAGCCGAGTCTAGCCTGTTGCTCGCCGGGGGAACTTCGACCTCAGTGGATCAGGCCGACTTTTGATAAAGTGCCATCAGGTTCGAGAATGAATTGCGCCTCATCCTTTCCCTGATTGCGCGCACGATCTCCCGCGTCGCGAGTGGTGGAGAGTCGTAAGGACAGCGCGGCCGCTATGGCTAATTCAAAGTCGCTGCTGCTTGTGATGGCGATGATGATGGCGGTGGTGGTGGTGGTGATGGTGGGTCTGTCCAAGGAGTTCAAGCTCAGCGTGTGCTTCTCCGTGCACCCACCAGAGGGCAGTGGGTATACATTCAGAGAGCTGGCAGGCAAGCAGGCAGGCAGGCAAGCAGGCAGGCAGGCGGCAGGCAAGCGGGCAGGCAGGCAGGCAGAGCAAGCAGGCAGCAGGCAGGCAGGCAGCAACCGTCGCCTCTCAGTGAGAGCCTGCACGAGCCCCAGACCACACCGCGCGAACCCGGTCTTCGCTTACTCTACAACGTGCACCGATCCGAATGGTGGTGGCAGTGGTGCCGATGGTGAATGATGTGCAGAACGGTGACGGAGTTGCCTCCTCGATCGTAGTGTCTGTTCAATGAGCGCTGGACGGTAGGCGGGCGGCCGGATTGCGCTCGCGTCCCGCGCGATTCCGTAGCGCGAGTGACGTCATGTACCACTGATTGATAGCTCAACGTGTTCTACCTGGTGTTCGTTCTGCCTCCTATGAAACTGACTGTGATAGAACTCGAGTGGGATAGTTAGCTCTGTTTTGTGACGTATTGTCCGACGGTGACCGAACGGGGGCAGTAGCGGACGATACGAGCAACAGTATATTACAACAAGCGACAACAAAAGCAACAAGCATAACAACAATAGCGGCGTTGACGGCGGCGGCGGCGAAGGTTGTGCGCGGACCGACAAGTTGAACGGTCAATCCTATCGGAGCGAGTTCAAGGACTGAACTCGTTTAAGTGTGCGGCTTTTGAAATATTGAGGCACGAGACAACCGACACTGCAATCTTATGATCCAGCTGGAATTATTCGTAAGTTGAATGGTATCCGACTGTTTTTCTCTGTGACATTCTGCTCTTGGATCGAATCTGAAGGCTTTCCGATGGAGTTCGATTTGGTTCGGGGCTCCGCGAGATGGATTGGAATGATCCGAAGCCGTGAAATTTGAATATCTCCGCTCACTCACGCGGCCGACGAGCACCTCGAGAAGACTACGTATATCGAAAAACTATTTGATCCCGATATGCTTTCGCGTCACGTGATGTGAATATTATGCAAATTAAAATTCAAGCGACGCGCTCTCCGAATTCCATGACTTACTGTACCGGGACTCCTTGCTGGATCGAGCCATTAGCCCACTCAGCCCAACAGGCCTCCGGATTCCGTAGATTTGCGAGAAAAAAAAAAATCGGGGCAATCGAGTGATTTCCCCGCGCCTCGATTCCCTCGACACCAGCGATATCGGAACCTATCCGTGACGATTATCCTCTGATTCGACGCGTGTCGTCGTCATGCATCGAACGTGTCTGGATTATTCCATCGAGACGCATCAGAATCGGCCTACTGAGTTGGATAGTAGAGCTGTCAAGAGCATTCCGGTTCTACACATCGCTGTATTGTAGAACGAGTTGAAGAAGAACGATGCCGTGAAGTCCAACCCTCTCTGGGCGGGCGGGCGCATATGCACGGCCCTCAGTGGTCCGCGCTGGCTCCCTCTAGCGGGCCCCAGGGTTGAATATTCCAGCGCGTCCCTTCCCTCGTCTTTGAATACCCTCACTCTATTCCTCGACTGCGCCCGCTCACTCTGAGCGAGTGAGTGAAGTCGGGGAACGGTCCCAGCACGCGTTCGAATATTTTATGAACGCGACCCGCCCTTCGCCCGCGGGCCCCGCCACCCTCTACGATGCCGGATGGCACGCGAATCGTGCCATCATTTTTATGCCTACGACGAGCCGATCGAAGGCAGTGGTTTAACTTATAGCCGAGCTTGACAACTTGACTTGACAACTTGACTCGCATGGCCCGTACTGGACTAGGAAATCTCCCATCAGATGGAACCGGAGTTCTCAAGCCTCGATGAGCCCCCGATCGGGACAATGATCAAAAGTTGACGTTTGCCCTTGCAACGATATCAAGTTCAACTCGAACTCCCTAAAATTGTGGGTGGCTTGACCGCTCGAGATCCTCCGACGGAGTTTGCTCGATGGAGCCTGCGAGGGCACAGTCAAACCTCAAGTGCTGTGTTTCCGTTGAGGAACAAGTTGAAATCCGATTGGCCGGGTTGACATTCTCATGATAAATAGTTCCCCGGACGTCGCCAACATCGCGGATACGGAACGATGCTCGGACTCGACCTGAGGTCTTTCCGTTTTCTACCTACGAGCGAACGGAAGGACCAGCGAGCCGACCGAGGGGACGGGGAACGAGAGATTCGGAGCTTGACGACAAGTGGTCAACTGGCAACGAGTTCGGGTAATATTTCTCCATCCTATGAATTTGGGGAACATTTCGTGTGATCCTGGGCAGTTCACGATCTTTCCCTCGCCGACTACCGAAATCTCCCCATGAATGTCTTTTCTGTTCACGGTCTTGACTCTGGTCGTCTGGACCTTGTGAAACGCGGCGTATGACAATCCGCTCCGGGTAGATCAACTTTCGTGGGGCACCAATTAGTCCCAGCCATCAGCGAAGGGAGCGCAAAGACATTACAGCAGTCGAGGGTGAATTTTACGAGTCTGATCCCAGATGCGAACGTGTATTGCCGTGCGCCTATCGCTCTCGCGAATCTCCAACGCTTCTTTCTGCTTCTGATACGTCCCTGATGAGTTCGTGGCGGACCGCCTCCAGATGGCTCAGACAGAGGACTTTTTTCATCGATTCGGGAAAGCGAGATCGATCTTTTTGGTGCCGAGATACATTCGGAAAGAGATTTACGCAAAAAAAAGTTATCATGAGCGAATGGCTCCCGGTCGACGTGCCGTCCGAACTTATGCAATTCGTGGAAGCGAATCGATGGCTCTGGGTGCTATATGGATAGGGCGGATCAGCGACATCAGCGACAGTCAGACGACAACTGTCGGTCAGAGTTGGGGGTACGAAGCGTTGATTGGCTTTTAATTGTGTGTTGTGCGAGGCATGTTCCCCAACATAGTTTGAGGCTTGACCTCGAATCAAACTCAACATTAATCAAGTACAAAACGCTCTGGGCGGTCGCCTCGGCCGCCACCGACCGAGTGTGGTTCCTACTCTAGCTGGCGGTGCTAACGGTGGTGGCGAACGGTATTGTAGGCAGGGCCACAATTAGCAATAATTTGACAATCCGTATGTAATCAAACGGTGATCAAACTGCAATGATATCTATGGCTCTCGGCTCAGATATGAGCTTTCACGCTGGATGTTTAACACGAGAGCTTTCTGTTACTAATCTACTCTCACCGCGACAATGTGGCGGGTCATGTTAAGATCACGTCCGATCACAGACTATCATCGTGATCTCTTTGAGTGGGGGCGCTTTCCGCCACTCCACATGAGCTGACTTCTGCTTTTCCATATGATATTCGAATAGGCGTGTTTCTGAGCCCTTGAGAGAATTGGAGGGAGAAGTTGCCTGATTCAGCTCAACGGGCGTGATAAGAACCACAACAAGGGCGAATCATTCGATGATAACCCCCTGCGAGCTCGTTGAGCGAAGCGCGAGCTTGAGCCGATTAGCATCGGTGCAGAGCAGGAAGACGAAAAACGAGCGGACTCGAAATCCACGAACCGTCGTCGCCTTCCGTCGTGTCACGCACTTAGCAGTGCTCCGCTTCCGTGGCACAACACATCTCCAGACACTGCATACTAGGTAGGTCTAGACAGACCTCGAATCTTGGAAAATTCACGGAATGATCGCGCCTTGCTCAGTGAAGCCCAAGTGAGTACGATCCCGGACAGACGCGGCCATAGCTCAAGATCTTCGGCTTGATGTCTTTTCGCGGGACGGGGTCACAGGTCGCTACTGCATATTAGGTCCGCGGCGGTCGGAGGTGACTCCATACATAGTGAGCAACGCATTTCCCTCTTATGCTGTCTCTCGTTCGGGGAGTGACATCGACATGAGGGAACGGGCGAAGCCACACGGCCAACGTGCTGGCAATAAATCAGGAAGCGCATTATTGTTTTGTTTATAAGCCGGTGATGATCGAGAGCCGCGAATATTCGGCTGCGCAGCAATCACGTCTCCCATTCGAGGGAGGAACGGCGACCACTTGTGTCGTCGACCTGCTCGTCGTTGTCAACGTTGCCATCGTGCCTGTTGCCACTGTCGTTGATGGTGGCGAGCAAGTCACCACTCCGACAAGCTATTACCGGCCCGAGCGCTTTCCCCGACGACCACATAGGCAAATTTACGAGGACACTGTCGCAATTGGCGTCGGCGCCAAGTTTTTCGGCCGAGTATAAATCTGTCAGAGTTTTCCCCCTACTCGACTCATGTGCAGCGCCCTCGGCCTCCTGCTGTTCATTAAGTTTGATGTGGAATCTTAAAATCGTAAAAACGTAGCCATGTGTAGCGCGATTCGACGCTCGATATTTGTCTACTATGTCGTTTTAACTAATATGGGTCACAACTGGCATCGCTATTTCCCCCAACTCTCGCCGGAAAGAAACGGTCCTGTCGCGAAATAGTATTCGTTCCGCCTGAAATATTAGTCGCTCAGGCGTTCATCATGCGCTTGCCGTTGCAGGAACGAAGTCTGGACGCCATGGATTACATGAGCCAACTGAATCAGATGCACCAGTTGCTGCAGCAACAAAGGGCATCTCCCCTAGTGCCTCCTCAACCTCTTCTGTCCCCGCTGCCGCAAATTCCGTCACCCACCGGAAACAATGGCGGCCCGTTGAGAGCCCCGCAGTCGTCGCGCCGACCGTCGGCGGCAGCTGCGAAACCTTTCACGTGCAACGAATGCGGTCGTGGATTCAAGTATCTACACACTCTTCGTTTTCATGTGAAAACGTCGCACGATTCCGACGGAGGAGGCGCCGAGCCTAGGTGAGTTATCTTTCGGTCGATTTTCGGATCTGTCACCCAATCGATATCTTCGCTCCTGAGACTGCACGTAGTTTGTGAATTATGAGCCCCACGATCCCCTGCCCTGCTGTTCTAGTTCGAGATTAAGATCCGGTCTTAATTTGGCTTTCTTCTCGGGCCGCAGTCCAACATTGTCCCATAGACTATCTCGTATGCGCAGAGAACCGGCTGGAGGAAGCACGAGTCCACCCTCGCCCACGATGTCTCCAGTGTTCCCGTCTTCCAAAAGAGATCAGCTACAGATGATGGGTCAAGCGATGCCTCTGCTTAAGAAATCTCTCGACGGTGGCAATTCGGACGATCAGCCATTGTCTCTCACGAAGAGGACCTCGCCAGGCGTGGGGTAAGTTCATGCGAAGTTTCGTTATTTATCGTGGGTCCGGAAGTCGACAGGTGATCGTGCGCATAAACCTTCGGGGGCTCCCCGGAGGAGCTGCGCGAAATGCTTGAATTCATTAGTGAGCTGCTCGATGAACGAAATCATCACCGGAAGAGTCGTACAGCAGAGTTGACAAAGACCACTCATATGGGGGAAAGTTGTGATCCGTGACCAAGACTGAAGTCGATGATCTCCGATTCGCGTGACAACGCTCTACTTGACGGAACTGGAGGGGCGGACGCTTGCAACTTCCGTGCAGCAGCCACTTGGTGGAGATAGGCGCTAAATCCGTCCATTACCGACATCTCGTCGAGCTCATGTGTCGATTAGTTGGCTGTCCACAGAGTCCAAAGCGACTTCACTCGGAACAACTCGGATCGAAAGCCACGCGGCTGAGCGAGCGAAGAGGGTCAAGGGACCAGGCTGCGAAGGCAGTTCACTCGACACGGGGTTGATGATCGTTCGAACTTCAGACGATCGATTACCCCTTCGATGGGAGGCGTCACGCTCTTCAATCGCGTTCCTTCTTCTGGACTGATTCCACGCAGAGAGAAATCGACAAATCGGCGGCGAACAGTGAAATTCTCACGCGGCATGAGCCCCGGCCATCTCGAGCGGGACATTGACGGAGACTTTTCGTCGGACGCTAAACCGCCGGAACGACGTGCCTTCAGTGGCACGTGAACGGTGGACGACCATTGCCGCAACCAGAATCGCGATCACCGCCATCTGCGCGTGGTGGAAGATGTGCCGGAGACGATGGAAGATATCTCTGATTAGACAACTGATCAGCATAGTATTACCGTCGGCATCTGCGGTTGCGTCGACAACGCAGGCGTCGCACGGCCGCCGAGCGAGCAGCATCGCTGTCGACGTCGTCGTTATATTATAATGGAAATTCAGCTAAATCTCGATCCTTCAGCAGGCATAAGAAGCGAGAGACTGACTCGTCAAGCCTGCGGGCGGGGGGCGGTCGAGCGAGCGAGTGAGAGAGAGAGCGGGAAAGAGAGAGAACGAGCGAACCACCGAGCCAATATCGCGTTGCGGCGTACGGTCGCCTGCCTGCTTGGAAGCTTACTACTCTTCGGTTGATCGTTCGGGAGCCGTAGGCACCCGAAAGGTAGCTCGGAAGCCAATCGGGCCAACACGAGATGAAGAATGGAAGAAAAAGCGAGAGAAATACGGGCGCACAAGAAACAAGAGCGCGCTCGCTTGCCTTCGTTTTGGCATGGGCCTCGCTCCGCGACGGTAGACGGCGGAACGGGACGCAGGGAAATTCAATAACTCCCGGCCAACGAGCGCCTACTCGCGCCGTTCCCACTTTCAACCTACAACGTCTCGTTCTCCAACTGCCCTGCCTGCCCGCCCGCCCGCCTGCCAGTCCGTTTGCCCGCCAGCCCCTCTGACGGCCCAAGCGTCCGACGGCCGTCTGCCTGCGCGGCCGAAATACCCCACGTCCCGTTTTAAGTCCGGCCCCGCTAGGCTCCCCGGGTCCTTTTGGTAGCCCTCTTTGCTTAGTCCTCGTTTCGGTCTCTTTCGCGTTCTCCCGTCCCCCTTCTGTCTGAATCTCCCGTTTACCCTCCTCCAATCGGCTCCTCCTTGGCAGGCAGGCAAACTGACTGCTTGGTGCGTACTGTCGGCTGCATCGGTGCCCGCTTTCCTGCACCCGCTGCCGTCTTCTTGGCGAAGCAAACCATATTGCATTTCGTCATATCAAAGTTTATCCACCGCTCCCGTCCGACCGCCGAGCTGGCTTCGCCCGCTCTCCTCCTGTTCGGCAGCTTTGCCTTCGCGGAATTTCGTTTCATGCGTTTAGGCAACGCAAGGGAGAGAATGCTTTATTCAACAGTGTACCTGCGAGCGCTCCTCCATCCTCGTTCACGGTCGACTCGCTATTCTGACACAATACGTCCTTGACGAGCGATCCTGGACGCACTCGAGGGTTCCGAGAGAATTCCTGACCGTCTCCACTGAATCGAAGGCAGAAGATATTCCGTTAGATGAAACTTGAAGTCTGCATCGACGTTCGCTCCGAGACCCGATTAGACGTCACGCGTCCACGGTGGCGCATCGTTCCAACGGGGAGATGTTCCCGATCGCCGATAGATCTGGTTCGTATCTGCGCGCTCGGAGCCTCAACCCGTACCGTGTACGATCTGCGTTCGTGTACATACACGAATGTGCCTACGTATGGTAAGCAGAAGACGAAGCGGGAAATGATAGAGAGGGGAAAAACCCGCCGGACGACGGCCACGTCGTGCACTAAATGTCTTATAGCTCGTTCCTCTGGCGGTCCCCGATGCTCCTTTCAAGAACTCGCTCGCTCGCCCACATATTCGGCAGTCGATGGCGCCCGGCTTAGGCCATCTAAGGCTTGTATTGCCACTGGCCGGTTACATGCTTTACTGGCCGCTTGCTTGGAAGGTTGGTCGGTCGGTCGGTCGTCTGGCTTGCTTACTCGCTCGTTCGCCGTAGGAACGGACGGCGTTTCTTGCCTGCTTGGTTAATACCCTGAATGTACGTGAGCCGCCTTAGTGCTGTTACTCGCTGTAGAACTGGCGGTGGCGGCGGCGGCGTGGCTGACTACGGACGTTTCGAAGCTAAACGTTCAACTCCTTCGTCTAGTTGGTCCGGAGACGGCAAGCGAACGCTACTCCGCCCGCTCGCTCGCCCCCCCTCCTCTGCCACTACCCGCAAGCAACGGTGATGGCACCGCCGCCACCATGACCACCGCCGGCACCACGACTGCCGACTAATGACCCCTGCGCAGAGCGGCGACCGTGCAGGCAGCAAAACACGCAGGGAGCATAAAACAGCCTCCTTTTCCTCAGAAGGCGTAAGCTCGGGTCCGTGCATTTGGTGGAGCTTCAGAAGAACTCGCCGTTCTCCTGTCCAACGAGACCGAAGAGATATCTCATTCGTCCGAGGCGCCTCGCATGTCGGTCAGCGAACGCCGGGCGCAGCCGTGCTTGGCCATCAGGCCACCTCGAGGGCGTTCATGTGACGGCAGAAACAGAATATTTCGCATGAATTCCGCTCTACTGGGAGTCGTCGATAGGGGGGGGGGTTCGGACCGCGAGCGGCCTTAATAATAAAATAATAATGTTGATTAAAATCATCGGCGATCGCAAGACTGCGCAGGACCTCGGGCAAGGGGACTGCGAGTCCTCCTCGAGGTTTTGGTCGTAGGTTTTGAGCCTTCGGGACTGCTCTATCGTCTCGTTGCGAGCTAGCAGCGAGAAGGAACCGCGGTGCATTCCGAACGGGTCGAAACAGTCCGGGCACTACCGATATATAGTGAGTGAGCTATGAGGAAATGAGCGAAGAGACAATGACCACCCCGGCCGGTCACCGAGCTGCTTGGCCAGCTCGCTAGCGTGCCCGACTGGCTGCAAGTCACAGTTGGTTTCTCGGTCGGTCCGATGTGCTAAGCCGATAATCCATCCATTAGGAGTTCTATTCAATCATGGCTCTTTCACGCCTTCCTCTTTGGCCTCATGTCTACATATATGCTGTTCTATGTTCGTTGTCTCTCTCTCGCTGCCGTTGCGTCTCGCTTTCCCCGCACATCTCCCCCGCCATCCGAGCGTGTATCTTGGGAATCAATCTTAGGGCCGAGCCATCGCATCCCTCGACACTCTCAGTGATACTTGCACGTCGGGATCGGGGATCATCAAAATAGGATAGGGTAGTCCTTGATTTCCATTTCTTCGGTCCTATTCTTCCATCGACGGAAACCTCCCATTATCTCTCACTCTCGATTAGCTTCGAGCACCACGAATTCAGGGAGCTCCTCCCCGAGTCTTATTCCTCTGATCCTGTGCGCCATTCAGTCAACGACGACGACGATGACGACGACACGGTCACTCGGTTGGTCGGTCGGTTAGATGCTTGGTTCGCTTGTTCCTCACTCTATCGGTCGGTGATGAATCGGTCTCGGTGCCGGCGAGAGGATGAGTTATTCGTTTGCAATTAATGCTCACGCTGTATTCCTCCCTGGCTGGCGGCCTGGTTGAACGAGCGAACGAATGAACGGGCGGTGCCGATGCCGCTTAGCATGTGACCAGCTCAGCAGCGGGCCCGATAGCGCGTCGCCAGCACTTTTGCATTGGTCGGCCGCCTGATGTCTGTCTTTTTTGCTCCTTCTTCTTCTTCTCCGCCGCCGCAGCCGTCGTCGTCGTCGGCGCCTCGTACTCTGACCGACCATGTATCTATCCTCACCGGGTGCTTGCCACGCACTGAGTATCTCTTGATGCCGAGATGGACAACACACGAGCGAACATCTTCTTCACAAGATCGAAAGGATGGATGTGTTGATGTTCAGCTGGAGCTTGTCGTCGGTGTCGTCCCAGTCGAACAGGGATCCTAGTCAAGCAAGGGTCGTGCGAGCCGGACAACGAGCTTCTCGGCAACCACGTGGACTAAACAAAGCGAATAGAGAGGGCGAACAAAGAATCTAATAATACATTACAAGCTCCAGCAGGCAAGGCTCCATGCGGCTCCTGGGCTCAACGCTTCATTAGCGATAACGAACTGCGTATTCATCATTATCTCACCCCTACAGATCCTTTCCCTCCATCTCCTTCGGTGGGTCTCGGCGCGGCGATGCGAGACAAGCGAAATAAGGAGGAGGGGAGCGAGCACGGAAGGAAAGCACGGCGGGGGCCTGTGGAGGGGAGGGAATCGGATGAACGCCGACGGAGGAGCGAGCGTTCGAGGCAAATCATAGAATGGGGGCAAGTGGTCAGACTTAGGACAATAGATGCTGCAGTGCCACGCCATTAGCTGTTTGCTTTCACACATCTACCGCTCTGCATATGCCGAACTCCCCTCGGCTCAGCCGGATTGAGCGTAAAACGGGCCAACTGCAGTGGGTATACAGGAACGCACGGTCGGAATTTCCGCACCATCAGATGATAAGATTTCCTGAAACTACGGATAATCAAACTCTCATGACTTTTCGA